AAGCTATTCATACACTGACGGACGAAGGCATAGCGCACCTTGGGCACCACATTATTTAGAGCCACCGGCCTGAAGTGTTCCCGAATCCCCCAGGGCCCTTTACCTTTGTAAATACCGCAGGCGAGGGCTTCTTTAAACGACGACGGCTCGACACCCCCCAGACACACCTTCGTGAACAGCGGATGCAAGACCCTCGCTACCTCCGGTGGCGCGGCCCGCAGGAGGTCAAACGCAATCCCGTCCAGCCCCGGAGCCTTCCCCTGCGGCAGCTTGCGCAACTTATCAATGACCCAACGGACCGTCGGCACATACTCGATACTGCGCTCAAAATCAAGGGGCAGGGCAAGCTCCGAAGGTTCAAAAAGCTGTCGCAACTCGGCGGAAGGGATCACCTTGGCCCCCTCAATCGCGGCAGACATGTCAAACAGCAGCTCATCCCAACGCTGCTGTGCGAGCACTGGCTGCCCCTTCGGGTCCGTCCTGAGGGGGGGGGCCCCCGCTCCTTTGTTCTTCGGGGGAACCCAACCGCCAGCTCTCATCAACCTCTTGACCCCCCCCCAAACAGGCCGTGGGGTCTTTTTTGCCGTAGGCCATCCCCACCTCCTCAGCGAGCTGCGTCGTGCGATGCACTTTGCCCCCCTCTAGTGCGGTGCGGAGCGGGCCCCTGGTCTCATCCAAAAACTTCCGCCCAGCTGCCGCAGCTTCCGCCGCATCCGCCTCCCCGCAGGTCCACAGCTCCAAAGCCAACCCAAGCTCAGCAGCCTGGCGAAGGGCCACCCAGCACTGTTCACTACCAAGCTCCCCCCTACTCCAATGAGCCGCCAAAAGCTGCAGCCGCACCCCACTACCCGTCCTGAAGTCTCTTGGCGCCCGCAGGACCAGCCTCCTCCTCCGCACTAGGTTGATCGTTGCCCTAGAGATATACGGCTTTATCGGCGCGAGGGCATCTCGACGGAATGCCTTGCTGGCAGCCCTCTGCAAGCACTCCGTCACCTGGGCGGCGTGGTCACCGACTGACATCCCCCACTCAGGCAGAGGCGAGGCCCCCAACTCTGCAGTAAACCGCTGGACACAGGCTGGCACCTTCATCTTGAGACGGTCCAGGGGCCCTTTGCCTTTCCCCCCACGGGGCAGCTCCGATACGTACTTAAACCTCGCAATTACAGGGGAGTGATCGAACCCGCTCACCATCGTGTCGATGGCACGGTCAACCTCCACCTCCACGCAATGAGGTGCAAGAGTGCCACCTGCTGCTACGAAGTCAATCCGCTTCATCTCCCCTTTGTTGGGCATGAAAGTGTGGGGCCTCCCATGCTCGAACAAGGTACTGAGGGCATGTAGCCCTTGGCGCTGTAAAACACAGTGAAACCTCCCCCCGTTCTCATCCTGTTTCTCCGGCTGGGCCGCCCCCCCCACAGCCTCCGAGACTACAGAGCCGACCTTCCCGTTAGCATCAATGAGGAGGAGGTCGGGGGTCCATCGAGCAATGAGATCCTCGCACTGCCCCCACCACGCCTCCCGCTCAAACCTCGGCCTGCGGCGGTGCGGCGCGTGCGCCACCATCACCGTCGCCTTGGAACATCTGTGGTTGAACTTCACTAGGAGCACCCTAGGGTCCGCGTATATTACCCACACATCCCCTGGTTTGAAAAACTGTTCTTTCCCGCCCGAAACGCCGGAGGGTCTCTTCAGGGCTACCAGGATGGCACAGCCTAAGTTCCCGTGATCACTACCCCCTGACACGGTCAAAAACGGCCCCGCGACCCATTTGCCCTTCGGGAACCTGGACTCCTGAATACCGACAATATGCAGGCCTGTCAGATCAAACTGTGCCCGGAGGTGCTCTCCGCGGTTGGGAGGTGCCTTCCTCCGCCTGGCCTTGTACATTAACGCCGCCTCGCGCTCAACAAGAGCACAGGCATTGAAAGACGCACAGTGCAATTCAATGGCAACACTTTTCGGCTGAGGGCGGCAGGGGAGCTCCTCCTCTGCCGTCGCCGATGGCCACCCCCCCCTCCTGATGGGGCCGCTGAACCCCTCTCCCCCCAGGGTGGGGTAGGCTGCCAAAGTGGGCTGGTCTGCTCTACGAAGCCACTCCCACTCCCATGCGACACGGAAATCTAGCTCCCCCGCATCTGCTTCTTCCAACGGCGTGTCACTGTGGGTCGAGGCCCACCCTGCCAGTCCATCCGCTAACTCATTCCATGGGTCCCCGTCGTGTCCTTTCGCCCACAGAATGGTCAACCCCCTGTCGGCTTCTGTAGCCGCGTGCAGCACCCTAAGCATTCAGACCAGTTTTTCGTTGGTCCCCGCCGCATACACCCCCGAAGAGAGAAACTGGGCTAACTTGCTATCAGTCGTCAAAACGAGCGGGGCCTCCGAGGGGAACTGCGAGATCCAGACCAGCCCCCGCCAAATCGCCGCCAACTCCGCATAGGTGCTGGACTGCGCCCCCCCTTGAAGCCCCTTGGGGAGGGTGCGCGAGGTCTGGCCGAAGATAGCCCCCATGAAGGCAAGACCTTCTCTGTCCTCGCCTATCAGGACAGCGGACCAGCTACAGACTGACCTCCCCCCTTGCCGCGCCGATCCGTCCGTGCACAGGTACAGCCTTTGTGGGACTATGGACCTCCTTGGCGCCATGACGAGTGCCGCAGCTGCCGCCTCGTGTATCCCCTCCCCCAGGAGCCCCTGGACCTCGAAGCATGGCCTGATCTGACCTGAGATTACAAGGCACACCTCCAGAACATCCCTCGGGGGCTCGAATGGGCAGCACCAGGCCGCGCCCCCCCCCCCCCCCCCCACGGCCCAGGACTCGCTATCCCCGGTTATCGGACCCGCTTCCTGATTGGGGCAACCTGCTCGCTCTCCTGGCGAGCTGTCGCCATAGAGCGCATTAAAGATCGAAGTTGCCTGGAATGCATTTTGTTCTTGGGCGTGCCCATGGCCCGCGCGCACAGCATGAGGGCGCGATGTGCTCGCGTCGAGACCCTCACAAAAATAGGCATTGGCACTCGCGCTCGAAGCAGACCTGCTCTGCCCCAAGGCGGCGGCGGCAGAGCAGCCAGGCCAACTGCCTGGAGCGGTCCTGCACCTACCGCCAGCGCTCGCACCGGAGGTGTTGACCCTCTCCCAGCCCCACTCCCGAGCCGTCCCGACCGACCCCCCATCCTCTCCATACGGGCGGCGATGCAGGCCCACATGGCCCGCCTCGCTGCACTCTTCGGTCGGGGCCAGGATCCAGTCCGCCAGATCGGCATCGCTGCTAGCTGCGCGGACAGGCTGGGCACGGCTCATGAGGGCCATCTCCGCTGCGCCCGCTGCATTAGCCGCTGCAGCAGTACGTGTCCCATCCCACCCCACCCGCATCCCACCGCCCCACACCTCCCCTATGCTGGCAGGCAAAGCCGTGGCCTCCCCCTCCCGGCGAAACTCTGGAGGGTTCGGTGGGCTTGCCGCCCGCGCACAAGAGGCAGGGGCGCTCGCACAGGCAGAGCTGGGGCAGTCGTACGAACTTTGCTGGGGCTCTCGGGGGGCCTCCGCGCAGGCTACGGGGTCCAAGACAACCCACTCGCCCCGCTCACGCGTCGACCCTCCGCCCCAAGACTCGCGCCGAAACTCAGAATCAAAAGAGCGCGGCTCCGACCTGACATCCCACTCGCCAGACTGCGCTTCGCACCGCGCGGCCGATGCGCCTTCCTGGCCTCCGCCCAATCGGCAAAAAGGGGGGCAGAGAGCCAGCTGTTTAACAGAATCCGAACCCGAGGATCCCGCCAGCGAAAAACTAGCACTGCCCTGCACAGGCCGCATCGTCAAAAGCCCGGGATCCGAGTCCCCTGGAGAATATTGCCAGAGTAGCACGGCGCTGGAGCATCCGCCCCTACTGCCATCGCCTGACCACACAGATGACGCAGGGCCTGATCGCGCTGAGGTGCCCGAGGTGCTGGTGGTAGTCGAAGTTGGGCGCCCATCCCACCTGCCGAGCCACCTGCTCTCGTGGTCGCACTGGTACTTCAGGTGACTCAGATAACAACCATCTTCGCACCCACCATCAGACTCACACGAATCATAGCCGCTGCTCTCATCAGAAACATCATCAGACAGCGCCCCCAGCACGTCCAGGCCCGTCGAGCTGGTGTCGGAGCTGCACTCGAATTCGATCACCTGCACGAGGTGGTCGCTCCAGGTCACGCTCCGCCTGTCGAAGCTGCGCTCGTGGCCGCACCCACTGCCGCCCCCGCCCCCGCCTCCATCCTGCCGTCGAACGCTGATGCCTGGGTGTGGCCCCTGCCCTCCTTCCTCGGCGGGGAGCGGATCATCCCGTCGCCAGCTGCACGCGCCTCGTCGATTTTCCTGACCTCCTTCTGCACTGTGTTGGCTGTCACACTCTGCGACGGCGGCGGCATGTACGGGTCGGGGAGGTCCCCCGAAAGCAAACCTGCGACCATCTCCTGCGTCGTCGAGATCGGGCTCGGCTCCGTCGGAACTGGCGTCTCCTCGGCTGTCGGTGGCACCTCTGGCGCGACCACCGCCGCAGGCTGCGTGGCAGCTGGGGATGTCGGCGAGCACCCCATCGGCGTCGGCATGCCCCACACCGGTGTCCGCTGCGCTGGCGGCGGGGTGGAGTCCACATGGAACGGGCTCGCCTCCTTTGACGGCGCTCCTGGCGTGGACGCTGTCCCTGTTGTCCTCGCGGTCGGTGTCCTCGGTGCAGGGCTCGCCGCTGCTGCTGCTCCTGCCGCTGCCGCCGCCGCCTCGCGTCCCTGCTGCTGCTGGAACTGCATGTTCCTCATTGCCGTCTCTTCGGCCTGCCTCGCCATCGCCTCGGCCATGCCCATCGGCGGCGGCATGGGCGGGAACACGGGCGTCGCTTCCGCCCTCGCAGCCGCCACGGCAGCCGCCTCCGCCGCCCCAGGCCGCAGGCCCGCCGCCACGGGCGTTGCCGCTGCCATCCCAGGCGGCGGCCCTGGTGGCACCGTACTGGGCTGATGAAACCCCATCGCCTGCATGACGAAGTTCATCTGCCTGTCCTGCTGCTCCATGCGCATGATCATCCGCTGCATTATCACCGTGACTGGGTCCGTCGGCGACGCGCCCGCCGCAGCGCCATGCTGCGGGCCCGCCGTCGCACCGCCAGGCGCAGCGGATGCCCGCTGCTGCTGCGGCTGCGACCGCCCGCCACCACCCATGTGCACGCCCCGCACGTGGTCCTCGGCCTCCTCCTCTCGACGCGCCTCCTCGAGCTCCACGATGTATTCCTGCAGCCGCCCCAGCTCGTGGAGGATCTCCGACTCCTGCTCCTCGAACATCTGCATCCGCGCTCTCGTGTTTCTCAGGCGCTCCAGCGCCTTCTCCCTCTTGGCTTTCATCTCCGCCAGTTGTGTATCCGTCGGCATCGTGCTGCCCATCATGCACTTGTACACACTCAGCTTCGTGTCCAATCTCGCCACATCCTCTGCTTCGCCCGCTCGGCGTGCTCCCATCACCATCTTGGCGACTTCCAGCATCTTCATCCGCGTCTCGTCTTGGAACTTCTTCTGCACTATAGCGTCTGGCGGCGACGCCTCCGCGTAGTACTCGTAGTCCACCGCTTCCGCCTTCGTCATGGGCACCACTCGGCTGACGTAGGTCTTCACCGCCTTGTCTGCCGCTTGTGCCTCCCTTCTGGCTGCACGGCTCGCACTCCTTTGACGGTCCCTCTGCCGCTGCCTCTCCTCCTGCTGCCTCCGAGACTGGTCGACGGCCCTGTCGGCGTTGGGGAAGGCGTTCTGCACACCGCCACCGCCGCGCTGCCTCGCAGCCGACTGGTCCTCCTTCACCCTGTTCTCGTATGCCTGCCCGCAGAGGCACAGCTTGTGGCCCTTCACATACCGCCCGCACGGGCAGTTCCACCGACCAAACGACATTGCTTTCTGGGGCCGTTGTGCCGAATGATGAGCCCCTAAGAGCTGCCGCGCGCGGACAAGGGAGAGAAGTAATCGTGCCTCGTGCCGCTTGGCACGCTGCCTCCGATGCCACGCTGCCTCGCGCCCTGGGCGCGGAATCGCGGCGCCTGAGGTGCGCGCGCCTGAGGTTCGGCCCGCCAAAATGGGCCCTCTCCACCTGAGGATCGGGCCGCTCGGGCCAAACCTTCTTCTCCTCCTCCTCCTCTTCCTCCTCCTCCTCCTCCTCCTCCTCCTCCTCCTCGTCATCAACACCCTTCCCTAGCACATACAAAAACACATCATATAAGACATCGGCCTGCCAGCAGGTGCCCCAAGGAAGTGTCTTATCCCCTGGTGGCCCCAAATACCCACAGAAGCTCTTGAGCATCGTACGGCCCATCAATATCGACGACACATGTACCGTGCGATTAGCAAGCATTATGTTCGGATGTGCCTGCTGTAGCTCCTGTACGTCGCACCACCCAGACGTGTCAATAGGGCGGGCCGGCCGTTTCGCCTTAGACTTCTTCACGACTAACGGTAATGGGCTTTGATTTCCGCCGCAATTTCAATGATGGATGCTGGCCGTTTTCAAAATGGAGCTCTCGCATCAGCGCCACGCACATTCGCCTTGAATCACTCAGACGACATACACGATAGATCGGGGGCCGATTTCAAAGTGGAGTTCCTGTTAGAGCGCCGCGAACATTTGTCTCAAAAGTTTGTAGCAGCGTTGAGGCTGGAGGGCGGTTCCTTTTCAAAATGGGGCTCTCGCCGAAACGCCGCGCCCACTCGCTCAAAAGCTTGCACCAGCTTCGGGGTTGGAGGGAGGTTCCTTTTCCAATATGGGGCTTTCGCTTAAGACTTCTGCAAATGCAAGGACCAGGAATTCAAGCACAAGTAGCAGCCTCACAGGTGGAGAGCGGTTCTTTTTCAAAACGGGGTTCTCGCTTCAGACGTCCACAAAAGGTGAACGTGGTGCTGGTCTTTCGAGGGCGTTCCCTTGTGGTGAACAGAACGGTTTGTAGGGATGCATGGGGAGTGGACTTGAGACGAGAGCGTGTACCGCAGCATTCTTGCTGCATCTTGAATTTACTCCTGCGCTCCTCTTCCCATATCCTCCTCCTCCTCCCGCTCCCCACTCCCCCACTGAGCGTCCGCTCAACTCGACTCGCCCGCGTGCCGGCGCCGGGAAGCCCTCGGGCCTCTGCTCCGCCACCACCCCTCCTCTCCACCAGACCCAGCCACCGGAGTAAGCCGAATCCTGTGCCTCGCCTGCTCCCTCTGGCTTCTGCAGCGGCCGCTGCCCCGCCTGCAGGCCCCCCTGCAGCAGCACCAGCCCGCCCACGACGGCTCTCGCGGCGGGCCAGGAGGAGGAGGAGGAGGAGGAGGAGGAGAAGGAGGAGGAGGAGGAGGAGGAGGAGGCGAGGAGGAGGAGGAGGAGGAGGAGGAGGAGGAGGAGGAGAAGGAGGAGGAGGAGGAGGAGGAGACAGACAGACAGACATGCTCCTGGAATCCCTCGTCAGCATAGCCTCGAAGCATCAAACAAATTACGCAAAGCTTGGATTCTGAGGGGCGAAACCTTAATCCCGCCGTTTTAAATGTGGGAGCCGTGCACACGTCGTGGCATTGGCACCCCCATCGAGAGGGAGGGACGCCAACACGGTGGAGCCACCAGGGCCAGAACCCACCTTGCTAGCTTCCCCCACCCCTCGATCGGGCGCCGCTGCCTGACGCACCGCCCCGTGGAGAGGCAACCCCCTCTCCTGAGGCATTTGGCCTCGAGGGGAGCCTCCGAGGGGGCTGAGACCTACCTTTCCCACTGGAACCCCTACCGCGCCCACGAGGCGAGGAGGAGGAGGAGGAGGAGGACGACGAGGAGGACGCCCGCACACCCGCCGCAGGGCCGCGACCCCGGCCCGTGAGCACACCGGCGCCAGGCTCTGCGCCGACACCCAAAGCCAGCGAGCCCCTCGAGCGCCGCCGGTACCATGGCAGGCAAGGAGGAGGTGCTCTCTCCGCGCGCGAGCTGCGAGCGCCCGCGGCTCCCCAGAATGCTTCGACCTCGGCCGGGCGCCTCTGCAGCGAGAGGCTCGGCCCCCTCTCGGCCTCCTGTCGGTCTCCGCATTTCGTCGGAGCAGCGAGGCACCGCGGCGGGGGAATACAAGAAGAAGGCAGCATCGAGGCAAGATCGGACCGATACAAATCGGAAGCCTCTGAGAATCGGCGGGCTCGGAGGATGCATCGGGTGCCGCGGCTCCAGGGCGTTCCGGGACGCTCTGGAGCGGATTTACCTCGACTCTAGGCCCGTCCGAGGGGAGGAGGGGCCGAGGGGTGCTGGCGCTCTGGAACGGATCCACAGCCAACCGGTGCTGTAGGCCATGTGCACGTTTCTCGAGTGGGGCGCGGCCGGCGAAAGCGGCCAGGGATGGGCCTAATGGGGCAAGGATGCACGGGCAACCCTGGAAAACTGGCTCATCCTCACGGTGCGGGGCGACTGTATCTCGATCCCAGGCCCGTCCGAGGAGAGGAGGGGCGGAGGGGTGCTGGCGAGGGCGGGGAGGGAGGGGGCCCCAGCGTGCGAGCTACGAAGAGCAGGGCAGGGGCGAGGAGAGGGCCCAGAGAGGAACAGCATGCCCAGAGGGGTAAAGTCTGATATCGGTGCTACCAGGCATGTGCCCTGGCTCCCTTACCACGAAGTCTCGGCATGAGTGCAGCCATGCGCTTCTCCTAAGTTGGGGCACTCAGGGCGGGGGGAGGGGGGAGGGACAGACAGACACCTCCGGGGGCATAAGGGCGACTCCAGCAACCTCGGATTGCCCTAGGACCGACATAGCTGCCGCGAGTTCGGGCCTCTAGCCCGCACGCTACTCACAGAGGTTTCGAGCCCCCGAGCATCACCAATAAAAACAAAACTGGCTTTTAAACCCAAGGAGGCGCGCCGCGGACCCCGCCAGACGGAGGGGGGAAGGCGGAGCAGGAGGAATGGGGGGGGGGCTTGAGCGCTCGAGCAGGAGGCGACAAGCACTGGGGAGCGACGTGCGGGCTCCAGATGCCGGCGGGCGGGGCGGGCGGGCGGCGGGCGGCTCCCGGGCGGAGCCCGCTGCGCGCTCGGCCTGGGCTGCCGCCAGCGCCTCGCGGGCCATGACGAGCCTGCGGCCCGTGGCCTCTCGCGGGGGGGGGGGGGGGGGGGGGCCGGGCGCCGGGGCCGGGCCGCCACGAGGGGGATCCGCCGCTTCGCCCTCCCCCTGCCCCGCGCCCCTAACTGCCGCGAGTCCGCCTCTGCGATACTGCGACGCCGACGGGTCTTGCGCGACCGTCGGCCAATACGAGATTATCAGAGGGAGCGCCGCCCCGCTCCAACAGGCCCCCAGGAAGCCCCAAGACGCCCCCCACGAGGCCCCAAGATGCGACCAAGAGCCGCCAGCAGGATCCCCGGAGGCCCCTTCCGAGTTCAAGAGGCCTCGGAGGAAACCGAAAAGAAGCTCCAAACTCAGCCCAATGAGGCCCCAAGAGATGTCAAAACTCTTTCCACGAGGCCGCCGACAGGCATCCCACGAGACCCCAACATGCATCCAAGACGCCTCTGGCCCACGACCCAGGCAAGGAAAACGAAATTCGGCTCAAGTCTAGCGCGGCAGGCTTGTCATGGCCTTGTCATGGCCTGTCCTCTCGGTCTGCCATTCTCCTGTGATGGCTTGTCGGGCGCAACGATGCGGACACCTGACACCGCGCCACCGCGCCGCCGCCTTTTTGCTTCCTGCCGCACTTCTGGAGAACGCACGACCACCGCCCCTCCCGCCGGATCCCGGACCTCTGCACCGCAGCGCAGGCAGTGTGGCGGGATGGGCCGAGGGCCATTCGATGTCAGCGCAAGCGCCGCCCCGCTCCGTCCTCCCAGGCCTCCTTGCCGCCCCCCCCCTCCCCTTCCTAGCCCCTCCCAGGCTCCCCCCGTCCTCGTCCAGGGCCCTGCTGGAAGCTTCCCACCCTCCTCCTCCTTCTCCTCCTCCTCCTCTTTCTCCTCCTCCTCCTCCTTTTCCTCCTCCTGCTCCTCCTGCTCCTCCTCCTTTTCCTCCTCCTCCTTCTTCAAGCTCCTTCAAGCTGCGGAACGTCTGCCTCCAGATGAAACACGACGCTCAGGGTTAAAAAGTGGGGGGTGGATTAAGAGATGGTGAGGCGGAAGCTTCTGCCCACCACGCGGTTGGTGGACGGATCCTTCCCCTCTCTGAGTAGCCTCAGGGTCTTCTTTCCGTCCTTGTTTCGGGGGTTCCCATGGCAGGGACCTCCGAGACTCCCGAAGGCTGCGCATTTTGAGCACCACACCAGGGATGAACCCATAAGCCAGAGCCGATGGGTCTTATCATCCAGGCGGGCCAGTCGTGGGAGGCCCGTGCATGGCATAGCACACGCAGCACGCTCAGACAGACCACGACCTCCACAGCGCGTGCAAATGAACGCTCTCCCCGCCTTACCAACTCGCTGCAGAACGTGGCCTTGACGGTCTGGGACGAGCTGGAGGGCATCGAACGTCGGTCGGCGGGGCTTTTTAACCCGCTGGACGTCGGGGAAATTGAAATGAGACAGATGTTGACCGAAGGCGCCAATGAGTTTACAAACCGCACGGATCGAATCACGGCTATCGTTGCGCCTGCGCACAAGGTCGGGATTCGAAACATGCGCCTTGGCCCCCTGCTCCGCAAGCTTGTCAGCTAGAGAATGGCCAAACCAGGCCCAGAACGGCACATTGGAGGTTCTGGAGCACGCCTGCCAAGAGAGGTGGGCCTTGATTTTACGAAGCTCGATACTCTCGAGCCCAAACTCGGAGGCCAGGAGAAACACCTCGTCCCACAACGCAGTGAAAGCGACTTGGGAGCGGTCCGCGTCGGGGCCAGCTGTCCAAACATTAATGACAGCTCGGTAATCAGAATATATGATAAGGACGCCAGGGGCAGCAAGACGGATGGCCATAAGGAGAGCGTATATCTCTCCCCCTCCACTCCGCTGTAGGGGGTGGGGTAACGGCCCGAAAACACTGCCGTCAGAACGTCAGAACCTCCTACCTCTTGCATGCTAACAACCGCCCAACCCGCCCTGGCCGAAAATGGGTTCCCTTGGCCCAACCCCGACCCATCAATACAAAGCCGAGGGCCCAAAAGACCAGAAGGGGGCCGAAAGTTCCAATGCCTGAAATCAGCCATGGAAAGCGAGAGCCAGTCGGCGCCAGGGTCGGGGGCCAGGGCTCGGGTGTACAACAGGTCCTGCTCAGGCCGACCTACTCCTTCTCGAACGACTTCGGCAAGATCGAGGTCCCGACGAAAGAGATGAAAGCCTGGGCACTCATAGAGCCTGTGCTTGGGCTCCCCACTTGCTCCTCCGAAAATGTTCCAGAAAACCAGCGTAGCTCTTTGAAATCATCGTCCGCCCCTCCTCCTTAGGAGCAAACTCGTCCTCGCCGCACCACCACGAGCATGTCGGCAGGGTGGTCCAGGCGGTTCGCGAGAAAACGTCCTGGCAATTCCTGGCGCTGGCGGGCGGGGAGCATCAAACATGATGTTTTCTCATTCGCGCCGCGCATTACAACAATTGACGATCTCAAACCTGTGATGTTTGTGATCGCTTGTTTTACAAGCGTTCTGTGGTAAACTTTCGCTGGCCTCGCTGGCTCGTCAAACGGCCTGGACAAAAACAGCTATGGCACGGCCCTCCCTCTTGCCAGCACTCGACTTGACATGTGCCAGCATTTAGAACGAGGGATGCGAGGCCCTTCTCAAGATGCTGACATCGGCCTCGCGCTGGGCACATTGGCCCTACACGCTTGCCACCGTCATGTGACTGGATGATGGTACACGCTCGAAACGGGACTCTCGCTGGAGACTTTCTGCTTCAAACGCGACGCTTTCAGACCGTGCAGCACTTACACGGACGGCGGGGGTGCTTTGGCTTGTGATGCCCTCATCCTCCATATAACGTTACAGAGGAGATGTGGAACAACTTCGCGGATAGAGGGCTGCTCCTTTTCAAGATATGGCTCCAAACGTGTCCAGGAGTTACACGGATGGATGCACATCCCTTTCATTGTGGGAGTTTCGCTCGAGACTTCGTTGGACGTCCTGATCTTGGAATGTGTACGTACAGCTGCTTCAACGACGGAGGACGTTGGCTATCAACACGGAGCTCTCGTCAGAACGGCAGGGACTGAGGGCGCTTATCTTTGAACTGGGTTTCCCAACAATGACAGGAAAACCTGCATGGGCTTCTGAGGCCAGGAATTGGGGCAAGAGAGTGTATTATAGCATCGATGATGCATATGGGGCTTGCTGAAGTCTCCCTCGTTCTCCTCTTTCTTCTCCACCTCCTCTTCTTCGCCCGCCTCGTACAGCCAGCCATCAGCCGTCAGCTGACATAAGCCATCTGACAATATCCTCCTCCTCCTCTTTCTCCTCTTCCTCCTCTTCATCCTCCTCTTCCTCAGCAGCATCACCCGTTGACCCGTCCCCCATAGCCCCGATGCAACCCTCCACCTTATTCTCCTCCTCCTCCTCCTCATTCCCCTCCTGCTCCTCCGGTAACGCTCCAGAGCCCGCTGCAACTCTTTTACACTTCTCCTCCTCCTCCTCCACTCCATTTCCTTATAGATAACTCCTCCCTGTCGCACCCCGAGGCCACTCGAAAGGGCGGACCAGGCGTTTCGCCCGATACTTCCTCATCACTTATGACCTGATGCTTAAACATTTGACAACAGCTTCATAAATGGAGGGCGGGTGGTTTTAAAAATGTGGCTCTCGCCTTGGCGCCCCGCACATTCGCTTTAAACATTCGCAAGAGCTTCACGTATTGAGGGCGGGTGGTTTTCAACATGTGGATCTCACCTGGGTGCCGCGCACATTCGCTTTGACCATGTGGAAAAGTTTTACGGATGGAGGGCGGGTGGTTTCAACATGTGGCTTTCACCTTGGTGCCCCGCACATTCGTTCTAAACATTTGCAAAACTTGCACGGCTTGAGGGCGGGTGGTTTTGAAAATGTGGCTCTCGCCTGAGCGCCGCGCACATTCGTTATCAACATGTGGGAAAGCTTCACGGACTGAGGGCGGGTAGTTTTCAAGATGTGGCTCTGGCCTGGACGTCGCGCACACTCGTTGTAAACATGTGTAAGAACTTCACGGATTAAGGGCTGGTGGCGTTTAACATGTGGCTCTCGCATTACAGTCAACCAGTACAGTAAGGATGCGCAATAAGGATGCACGGGCCTTAGACGCCCATTTCGAAGCTTTTCGTGCGGGGCGCGGCCAGCGAAAGCGGCGAAGGATGGACCGAGGAGGCAAGGATGCAAGGGTACCCCTGGGAAGGTTGCCCATCCTTACTGTGCGGTTGACTGCAACGCTGGGCACAGTCGTTGTAAAACTTGAAAGAGCTTCACGGATTCAGGGCTGGTGGTTTTCGACGTGTGGCTCTCGCCTTGGCGCCTCGCACAGTCGTCTTTAACATTTGCACGAGTTTCGCTGGTTCTCATGGATAGCGTTCAAGCAATGGTGCTTTGGAGCGGTTCTGGATTGGCAGGGCGCAACAGTCACGTTGATTTGCGGTGTTGAAGTACCAGGAACGGCGTTCTGGAACCATCCAGGATCGCCAAGACTTAGCAGTGAGGTTAACTCCTGGCGTTGAAGTCCTGACAATGGTGTTTTGGCGCGCTTCATGATGTTCACACGGTTGTCCCCCAACGGGGCAGTTCCCTCAGTGGTAGTGACCCCTTGTAAAGAGGGCCCATGAAGAGGGATGTTGGAGGGAGGGTGTATTTCAACATCGTTGATGAGTCTTGGGTTTGCTCTGGTCCTCGTCCTCCTCCTCGTTGCCCTCCTCCTCCCTTTCCTCCTCCTCCTCCTCCTGCTCCTCCTCCTCAGCCCCGATCTAAAGCCCTCGAAACCCTCTTGTCCTGCTCCTCCTCCCCCACCCCCTCCGAGAACGCTGCTGGAACCAACCCTTCGAGGCCCCCTCAAACGCCCGCTCTAATTCATCCCCCATCGGCTCCGAATAAAATGCTGCAACCAAATCAGAATGGAGGAACGAACACTTCCATGATTGAGGTCGCAAGCATTTTTTGAATGCGCTCGGGCCTCTGATCTCTCGACCTGTCTGGTGAGGCTGCCAAACACATGTGATTCAAAAGATCTCCGTCCTCATCCTCCTCCTCCTCCTTCTCATCCTCCTCGAACATCCTCCTTCTCCTCCTCCTCCTCCTCGAACCTCCTCCTCGAACCTCGTCCTCGAACCTCCTCCCCCTCCTCCTCCTCCTTCTCCACCTCCTCCTCCTCGTCCTCCTTCTCCTCCTCCTCATCCTCCTCCTCTCCAAACCCTTTACAATCCCGCTCCTCCTCCCCAAGCCTCCTCGTCCTCCTCTAAACTTATCGTCCTCCTTCTCATCTTTCTCCTCCTCCTCCTCCTCCTCCTCCTTCTCCTCCTCTTCCTCGATCCTCCTCCACAATCTCCTCCTCCATCCATTCCACTCTAGATAACTCCTCGTCGTCTGACTACCAGACGTGTCGCTAGGGCGGGCTAGGCGTTTTGCCCGACACTTCCTCTCAAAGTATGACCCCGAAGCTTGACATTCCCCAGAGTTACACGGATGGAAGGACCGTTTTCAAGTTGTCGGTCTCGCCTTAGCGCCGCGCGCATTCATCTCACAAGTTTCCAGCAGCTGCACGGATGGAGGAAGGGGATCGTTTTTAGAATGCGGCTCTCGCTGTTTCAAATGTGGTTCTCGCCTGAGCGCTGCGCACATTGGTCGTGAAGGCTTCCAGCAGCTACACGGCTGAAGGAGTGGTCGTCTTCAAAATGCGGCTATGACCCTGGCACCGCGCGCATTCGTCTGAAGAAAGTTATCAGCAGCTCAACCAACAGAGGACCGATCCATCTTTCAATGTGGTTCTTGCCTTAGCGCCGCGCTCACTCGTCCTTAACATTCCCAACAACCACACGGATGAAGAGATGGCCGTTTCCAAAGTGTGGACATCGCCGTAACGCTGCGCACATTCGTCTTAAAAGCTTGCAGCAGATACACAGACGAGGTAGGCGCCGTTTTCAAAATATGGCTCTCCACCCAGCGACAGGCAGATTCGCCCTGAGAGAACTTCGTGCACTTCTGATCGGAGAGGACTCGAGCCAAGCGACCGTATTGCAGCATCGTGGTCGTATCTTAGGTTTACCCTGGTCCTCCTCCACCTCCTCTTCCACCTCCTCCTCCTCCTCCTCGAACCACACTCCGGCATCTGCCCATTCTGGTCTTTGAGGCTCGCTGCGCGCGGCGCGGGGCTTCGTGTAGTGCCGGCTGCCGCCGCCGCCGTCGTCGCCTTCGCCGTTTTCGCTCGCGCCGCTGCGGCCGTTCGCCGTCGCTGTGTCGTTTCGCCGCCGCCGTTCGTCTTCGTTGGGACGCAGAAGAACACACTAGTACTACGCGTCCTCCTTCGAGGCGTGCGTCCGACCCGAACATCTAACACAAACATCTTGTAGTTTGTCGTTTTACGAGCGGTATGGCCAGAAAGCGCCCGCCACGGAGCTTATATTTTAAGATTTCTCGGAAAGCGCGTCGCCCCTGGGGGGGTCGACGCACACACAGTATCAGTACGATGGGGCGGCGCCGATTCGTCATTGTCGTCGTCGTTCTCGTCGTCGGTGACTGCACCTCTCCGTTCTGCCTGGACCTCGCGCCCCCCCGCGTGCGCGCGCGAGGCCGACCCAGCATCCCAGGATCCTGGAGCTCTACTCCCGGAGCTCCCGTGCATGGACATTGCATTCGAACCCTGTGGCCCAGGAAGCCCCCCAGACACCCCGAAATTCAGATTGATGGCGTGACGACGGTGGGGGGGCGTGAGTGGACAGAACTATTCGAACCCCCAAAGCACCGCATTTACTGAGATCAGCATTGATGTCGGGGGCGTGGGGGTGATTTAGAATTTCTCTCGAATGTGGAAGGGTTCGAATTATTGTCCATGTACTGTCCCTCCTCGAAATCTCCGCTCTTGCAGCTCTCCTGGCCGCCCACCAAGCCACCCCAACCTGACACGAAGTCGCCGTCGGGCCTGCCAATTTCCAAGGGGGGGGGGGGCGCTCTGGAACATCGAGAAACCACCATGGGACCCGTAATTACTGAAGGGGCCCAGGGACACACAAATAAATACACACGAATCCCTGGATTCCCATATTTTCCTATATATTTGTGATTTTCATCTTCCCCCCACTTCCCATATCTTTGCATATGTTCCTGGGAATCGACGATTAATTGTGTCTGTTTTTTTTCCCTCCTGAATTACACCCCCCAACCCGAACTGCCGGGGGGTCTGGGACCTTCGGGTTGGGTTGGGGTGGTTTGGTCAGTAGCGATCTCCCGAGGTCCGCCACTGCGAAGACTTGCGTCCCCCCAGGGCCCAAGATCCCATCCTCCTGCGGCACTTCTCGAGCCCGATCGTTCCGTCATGGCCCCAGGGGCCCGAAAGAGGGCGAAAACGCCCCTCGACCCCCCCGAGAGGAAAAACAAGATACGGTGGGGGCGTTCGTTAAGGAACGTGCCATGGAGGCCTCGGACCCTGGGGGATTCCTTATCTGACGAGGGCGGCGATGCTGTCCATGACACGGCCTCCATTGGCGCTCCCCTGGCTGTCAGACCCTGGACTCCGGATCGCGAAGGGTCCCCGATCCAATGTCCTCACCGTGCAGAAACGCAGGCTCCGGGAGCTCCGCGCGGATCTCCGCGGGGCCCTCCTCCTGAGCGCGCGGAGCGCGCGGGGGGCCGCGACGGAGGCGCCGCCAGGGGCCAGCGCAGATTCCCCAAAATCCGCGCGGAACTCCGAGAAAGTCCACAGTCGGGAACTTCTGCTCCGCGAGTCGCGGCGGCCGCCGCAGCCCTCTACGCTATGCCCTCCCAGCGGATAGCGTGTCGCCCTGCTTCGCGGGTCGGAGGCCAGGAAAGGCTCGGGACGTTGACGCTTGGAGGCCGGGACGTGGACAGCGTGTCGCGCCGAGGCATGGTGGGCCAGAGCCAGCGGCGCGACGCGCTGAGCAACAGTTCCTGACCGCACGTGAACTATTTGTTCTTCGTCGGTCGTCTCCACGCAGGGAAGACCCTGGGCAAGAGTGGCCTCTGGTGCGCGGCTTTGGGGGGGCGCGTGGGGGGCCACACCCGAGCGCGCAAGCCGCTGCTATCGTATCCCTTTCAGCCATCTGGGGACCCGAGCGTGCCCGCGCGGAAGATCACTCCGGCGAGAGGTCACTCTTACGCGTAGGCGATTCGACCTCGACCCCCGCAGGCGCGCGCCTCCAGCGCCACGCCAGCGCCCCTCGCCAGCGCCGCGGAAGGCGTCCGCTCCATCTGCGCGCGGAAGCGCCGGGCCAGTGGGTCGCCAGCCTCCGGGGTGGCGCCCTGGGCACCCTCCGCCCACCCACACCACCCCGCAGTAGGAAGGCCCTCCGAGGAGGGAAGGGTAGACAGGGGAGGAGGACATGGGGACGAGGGGGACGAGGGGGACGAGAGGGACGAGGGGGACAAGGGGGACGAGGGGGATGAGAATGATGATGATGATGATGATGATGATGATGATGATGATGATGATGATGATGATGATGATGATGATGATGATGATGATGATGATGATGATGATGATGATGATGATGATGATGATGATGATGATGATGATGACGATGGTGATGGTGATGATGGGATAATAATCGTAGAGCATGAGTGTTGAGTTTGAGGGGGGGTCGTGGAATTTTTGTTTTACTGGAGCCTCGGGGCCCTCAGGGTCGTGCGGATGTGGGCCAAGTCTCCCGGCCTTGTGCCCCGGGTCCCGCAAAACGGGAGGAATCGGTGGCTTGCGGCCGCTTGCCCCCGTATGTTTGTGCCCTCGCGTGTGCCGCACGGCCTGCTCCGCAACCGTTTCATTGCTCCAATCTGCTCCAGATTCTCGCGGAGAGAGGGCGGACGGCCCACCCCGCTGCAGGGCGCGCGATGGCGCCCTGAGAGGGAGCCCGTGGCTCCACCCGTGGAACGAAGTCGAGTGCGAGACCGCGGCAGGGCTGCCCAGGACGCAGCTGGCCGCGGGCGGTGTGGGCCGTGCGCAGGCCGTGGTGCGCGTGGCGCACTGGCTGGCGAGGCGCTGGTGATGGTAGTGCCAGTCTCAGCGGCAGCGAGGCAAGCCGGCTCCGAGGCGCTGCGAGGTGCTGGCGCTGACGTATCCGAGGAGGATGTCACGGAGCTGGTGCTGAGAGTGCGCGCCTCGCTCAATGCTGGGCGGGCACCGCGGTCCAAGGTCGACGAGGTGCGGCGGCTCGAGACGGCTCTGGATCCGGTGGCCGTCCGCCTGGCCGCGGGCTGCCCCGAGCTCCCTGGCCCCGAGATGTCCAGTGCCCTGTGGAGCTTCGCGGAGGCCGCCACCTTCGGGACTCAGGCAGAGAATCGGATTCGACGAGTGGGCGCTGACGAAGCTGGCTGGGAGCGAGTGGCCGACAGGACCTGGGCCCGCGCGACGGGGGAGGACGGCGACGAGCAGTCCCTGGACTGGGTGCTGCACATCGGGGTCGGGCTCCTCGTGGCGTGCGGGCTGGTCGTGCTGCTGGCAGAGTCGGGTCGGCACCGAGTCGCGGGCGCCGCTGGCTCGCTGTGTGGCGGTCTCGTGCTGTGGCGCCGCCTGCCCGTGCGTGTGAGCGCCTGGTGGACCCGCTGGAGCCGCCGCTCGGCGTTCGCCGCGGCCCTCCGCAGTGGCGGGGACGGGCTGGCCGCCTTGGGGGCTGAGGACGCCGACGGCGCAGCCGTGGCAGGCGGCGCCCCTGGCGAGGCGGCTGCGGGGAGCGTCGGGGCGGCAGCGGAGCCGCGGCCAGGGCCGCAAGCGCCGCCGCCCGGCCTCCCTGCGCTCCCCAGCCCGCCCTGGGCCCCATCCGCCGAGGGCGCTGGAGTCTGGACGGCGCCCGAGAAGCCTGGCGCGCAGGACGTGGCGGCTCTGCGGGCCTTCGGCAAGGGGGAGGAGGGGACTGGGCCTTTCAGCCAGACGGCCGCCCAGCAGCTTGGGGGCGGGAGCGCTGCCGTGACAGGTGGGCCCCCAGCCCTTGGTGCCCATGTCCCTCACTTCCCCCGCCGATGCTGTGAAGCTGGGCCGGGAGGCGCAGATGGTGCGGGCCACACTCACCGAGTTCCAGGCCCAGGCGGCGACGAACGTATACTGGGCGTGGCACTTCTGGGAGCGCATAGCAGCCGTAGACTCCTCCATGGGCCTCCACCCAGACCTGCGGCGCCTGCTGCAGACGCACGGCTACGTGGGGGCTGGCACCAAGTCCCCCCCAGGGGGGAACTTGCCGCAGGAGCTGGAGACGCTGGTGGCCACGGCAGCGGCGCCGCACGGAGGAGGCATGCAGGCAGCCCCAGGCTGGAGCTGGACGCCAGCAGCGCAGCAGCAGCAGGAAGACAGTCGGTGGAACCTCAGCCTCCCGCCGGACCTGAAGCGGGCAGCGCCGGAGATCTACCGCTCCATGCGCGGGGCGGGTGCGGCGAGCGCTCGGGACTGGCTGTCGCAGGAGGTCACAGGTCAGCGGCACACGGCCGTCTGGACGGACCTGTGGACGGCGGCCACCAACGTGGACTACCTGCTGGGAGGCTGCAGGACGCAGTCCGAGGTGCTGACGCGGCTCGCGTCGGACGATGCGCTCGAGCTGCACCTGCGCCGCCTGGCGAGCTACGTCTACGAGCTGAGGACGAAGGACAAGGTGGGCACGGCGGCCATGCTGGCGGTGCGGCCGCCAGGGTCCGCCACGGACCTGGCGCCCACCTGGCTGGTGACCGAGGCCACCGCCCACAGCAAGGCGGAGCACCAGAGAGACGAGCGCGTGGCCGTCGCAGGCAGGCGCGAGGGCCGAGGCAGCGGCCGCGGTGCCAGCTTTGGCGGCTGCGCGGGCGGCGGCGGCGACGCAGCAGGAGGCAGCAGAGGCAGAGGAGGAGAAGGCGGGGGGCGTGGCCGTGGCCGAGGGAGCAAGCCCTCTGGCCGCGGCAAGCCGCAGGCGTGACGTTTGCTGGCGGACCGCGGGATTGACCCCCCCGCGGTCCGTGTCGGTGCCCCGCAGCAGCGGGTGCAGCCAGAGATGCCAGCGACGGGTTCACCTGGCTCGCTTGCGCGGGCCCTGCAGTGGAAGGAGGCCGCCGCCAGGTCGTTCTTCCCTGTACCTCTGCCAGCTCGGCCACTACAAGGATGCACCTCTTCCGGCAGGTTGAGGACACGACGGGCTCGACGAATGCGCGTGTGGCGCAGAGCCTGCGGGCTCATCGAGCTCATGAACGGGATGGACTGCGGATCCCTGGAGGCGAGACCAACGGGCCAGCGAGAAGCGTGGGACGACGAGAAGAGGCTGGCCTGGAAGCTCGTGCAGCAGTACGCGTTGCAAGACGCGGCGCGGTACGAGCGCGACTGCCGGGGGCTCGCCCCGACAGGCGGTCACGGGACGGAGCTCGCTCATGACAGAGGGCCGCAGGACGCCTACACTGGAGAGCGTAAGAGTGTGAGTAAACATGTGATGATGTGCGCAGCGGCCGTGGCCGAGCCGCCTGACGACCATGTTGTCGATCTGCTGGAGGCGCTGCCCGACGGTGAGCGGCAGTACTACACGGACGAGCAGAACGTCCTCGACTACAGCGGCAAGTCGGGCGTCATCTTCGAGGAGTTGGAGGAGCGTTTTGCGTTCGTGGGGGGGGGGCTCGACGTCGGAGTACGCCCGTTGCCTGATGCGGGATGACCTGCCGAAGGATATGTGGACGTTCGAGGCCCCCGGCGATGTGCAGGCCTACTGTGGTTTCAGCTGCGTACCGAAGAAGGACCCGACGAAGCAGAGGAAGGTCCTGATGATGTGCGCCAGCAACTACGTGTGGGCCGAACCCCACCAGCGCGGGGACCACGGGATGCACGGCGGGGCGGCGATAGCCTCCATGTGCGTCCCGACTGACGTGTGGGGCGTGGCGGCCTTCGACGAGGACAACGCCTTCACGCGCCTCCGGGTGCCCGCCTGGATGGCCCGGTGGCAGGCTTGCCCGCCGCTGCGGGCCTGCTGGGTGTGGGAGAAGCTGAGTCAGCCGATCCGCGACCTGGTGGGGCCTGCGGGCTGGGTGGCACCCTGCTACCACAGGCTGGCCATGGGGGGTTCGCACTCCGTGCACCTGCTCATGACGGTGAATACGGCGATCATCGGCAGGGCGTTGCTGGGCGTGGGTGCGCGCTTGGCGGCGCTCCAGGGCGCTGCAACCCCCGCGGACGCCGCGGCAGGCGGCGCGCCTGGGACCTCGCCGCCCGAGGACGGGGGGCTGGAGGGCGAGGCGAGAGCGGGGGCTGCGCAGGAGTGCGGGCAAGCACACCGCTACGACGACGACTGGGTCATGCAGCAGTCGAGCTGCCGCGCGGAGCCCCCGAGCTTGGGGGGCTACAGCGTGGCCGAGTGGGTCGAAGCTGTGAAGGCGGCGAAGAGGGAGGACGAGCGGGTGATGGTGGTGATGCACCCCTTTGCTGGCCGCCGACGACGAGGCGACGTGCAGGAGGTGGTAGAGAGGCAGGCGCGGGAGCGCGGGATGCGCGTCCTCTTCCTCTCCGCAGACCTCTTGGACGACCCGAGGTGGGACCTGGCGAACCCCGCCACCTTCTCTGCGCTGATGGAGCTGTGCGAGGGAGGCTGGGTGGATATTGTGCTGGGTGGTCCACCGTGCTCGACATGGTCGAGGGCGCGCTACAATCGTCGGCAGCCAGGCCCGCCGCCCGTCCGCTCTTGGCTCTGCCCCTGGGGCTTGCCAGGCCTGAGAGCGTGGGAGGCCGAGAGGGTGGCAGAGAGTAACACTTTGACGCTGAACCTGTTGGCGCTCTGCGCGGCGTGCGGCCAGAGTGGCGGCGCCTTCCTCATCGAGCACCCGGAGGACCCAGGGCGCGAGCCCTACCCATCCATCTGGAACACCAAGAAGATGCTAGACTTCGAGAGGCGACGCTCAGCCCAGAGAGCGTGCCTGGACCAGTGCATGCTGGGCGGGCGTACCAAGAAGCCGACCTGTCTCAGTGGCACGCTGCAGGGCATGGAGGCCCTGATCGAGCTACGATGCGACGGCTCCCACGCCCACGAGTCCGCCGAGGGCAAGCTGGCCGACGGGACCTTCCGCACGAGCCCCCTCGGGCAGTACCCCGAGGCGATGTGCGAGACGTTGGGGAGCATGATAGTACAGACCCTGGCCTGCTTCGAGATGAGCGGCCTGGGTGGCACTGGCTGGCGACGGCCGCCCGAGGCAGACAGGACGGTGACGGCCTGGGGTACTCGCAGCACGACCGCCCCCGCCGTGGCCGTGAGGAACGAGGACGTGCTGCGAGGACGAGGGCTCGTGCTGGATGGGCCGCA